ATAATAAATGCACAATAAACACCAGGGATTAGGAGCTTCCACAGAGGCTTCCCTCTTCCCTCCTTCTTCCCTCCTGAGCCCCCTGCCTCACACCTGGAGCCCATCTCTTGCTGTCCTGTCCAGGATCCCTGAGCACACCCTCCCTGATCTCCTGGTCCTGCCTGGCCAGTCTATTGCCCTGGGGGCTGCCTGGCCAGGGGGCCCACTTCTTGCTCAGCTGCCAGAGGGGCCTTGAGTGTTGAAATCCTTCCATTCCACTAGGCCAGAAACTTGATAATGGTATTAATTAAAGCAAGATGCCGAGTCTGGGAGATTTATTTTCTTTTCCATATCTGTGGCTGTAAATGCCACTCAGGGAGCTCAAAGGCCCGTGTCAGCCTGCATCAGGCTCCTGAACAGACGTTCTGTTCCCAGTTTGGTCTCCTCGGCCCCTCCTTCTCAGCGCCAGGAAGGAAGTGTGTGTTGTGATACCCACCCCTCACCCCAATTTCCCCTGCTCCTTCTGCACACGGCAAAAAGGGGGAAATACCTGGGCAATGTGGGGTGGGAAGGAAATTTTCCAAGAAATTTGTTTTAAGTTTCTGCCTCATCATTATAGGACTTTCACGTTTCTATTTTTAGCTGCGCAAACGAGACAGGCCCACATTCCCCTCATCTCCCCCTGCCCCAACCTTTATTTATACAAAGCACATGCTGGAATCATTATTTAAAAACCTCCAAACCCATAATTGCCCAGGTAGGTGAAGAATGCAGCCTTTATGGCTGTCGCTTGCAGAGAGGGCTGCAGTGTTAGTGGGGAACTGTGGCTTATTCATACATGTACCACCCTGTACCTCACTCACCCTGAACCCCTGGAATGCCCAGAAGAATCAAGTAACTTAGAAGCATTCATGATAATAGAGTTCGAGCATTTTATATGAGGAAACAGCCCTAGAGTACAGACAAAACTTGTCCCAAGGCCCCTACAAGATGTTGCTGTCATTACTGGGATTTGAACCCAGAGATATCTCAACTTCCAGTTTGGTGCTAGTCATTCTACTCTACCATGAAAATTAGTGGAAAGCTGGGCTGCCTGAGTTTGAACCTCAGAGTGCCACTTTTTTTTAAGAAGGAGTCTCGCTGTTTCCCAGGCTGGAGTGCAGTGGTGTGATCTCAGCTCACTGCAACCTCCGCCTCCCAGGTTCAAGCAATTCTCCTGCCTCAGTCTCCCAAGTAGCTGGGATTACAGGCGTGCCACCACACCCAGCAACTTTTTCTTTTTTGAGATGGAGTCTCATACTGTCGCCCAGGCTGGAGTGGTGCAGTGGTGTGATCTTGGCTCACTGTAACCTCTGCCTCCTGGGTTCAAGCGATTCTCCTGCCTCAGCCTCCCGACTAGCTGGGATTACAGGCACCTGCCACCAGGCCCGGCTAATTTTTTGTATTTTTAATAGAGACGGGGTTTTACTGTGTTGGCCAGGCTGGTCTCGAACTCCTGACCTCGTGATCCACCCACCTCGGCCTCCCAAAGTGCTGGGATTACAGGCACAAGCCACCGTGCCCGGCCAGAGTGCCACTTAATTAACTGTGAGACTTTGAGCAACTTTTATCAAACCCTTCTGTATCTCAGTTTCCTTATCTATCAAGTGTGGATTACAAAAAAACCCACCTGATAAGACTGAGTGAGGATTTAATGAGTGCCTGGAAGAGAGTAACCCTGAGGTCCTAGCTCTGATTTCCTCAGAAAGCAGAGCCAAGCCATTAGCCACGCCCAGGAGTCATGCGTTCCCACACAGGGAGTCGCTTTTCTCTCTGTGCAGTGGGGACCGTGGAGTATTGTTACCACAGCTCCATTCCTCTAGGATTTTCCTTCACCATTGTCTTCCGGGGCCACCTCAGGGGGTGTGGTAACAGTCCATGTTTTGCCAGAGCTGTATAGAGCTCCAGCCTACCTGTGAACCAGCCAAGTTCTTTTCTTCAGTTGATCCTAAATAACCCTCTGAGGCCACACTTGTGAGCTGAGTCAGAGCTATCAGTTTGGCCAGGTGCAGTGGCTCATGCCTGTAATCCCAGCACTTTGGGAGGCCAAGGCAGGAGGATTGCTTCAGCCAGAAGTTCGAGACCAGCCTGGGCAACATAACAATACCTCGTCTCTACAAAAAATAATAATAATAATAATTAGCTGGGCGTGGTGGCACACACCTGTGGTCCCAGCTACTCAAGAGGCTGAGGCGGGAGGATCTCTTGAGCCCAGGAGTTTGAGACCAGCCTGGGCAACATAGTGAGACCCTGGCTGGGCACGGTGGGTCACACTTGTAATCCCAGCACTTTGGGAGGCTTAGGCGGGCAGATCACCTGAGGTGAGGAGTTTGAGACCAGCCTGGCCAACATGGCAAAACCCTGTCTCAACTAAAAATACAAAAATTAGCATGGTAGTGTACGCCTGTAATCCCAGCTACTCGGGAGGCTGAGGCAGGAGAATCGCTTGAACCCAGGAGACGGAGGTTGCAGTGACCCGAGATCGTGCCACTGCACTCCAGCCTGGGTGACAGAGCGGGACTCTGTCTCAGAAAAACAAAACAAACAACAACAACAACAAACAACATAGTGAGACCCATCTCTATTAAAAAAAAAAGAGAGAGAGAGAGGCGTCAGTTTGGAAAAAGTAGTTACATGGGTTCTGCCCTGCTATCTGTTCATGTAATTTATTTGTGCCTCCTGAACCTGCTTGGACCCAACCTTAAATAAACCATTTCCATCATATAACTCGAGGCATTATAACTAGCATTTTTATTTGGAAGCTCTGACAATACACAGCTCACAACGGACAGGCAGCTCTGCCACGTGGTCACCTGCATCCCACGGTGTACTCCGTATCTACTGTGGTTCAGTGTCATGCCAGGAGCTGCTTTTCCAATGGAGAGTCCTCTCTGCCAGAGGGGGCCTGGCCTTGGTACAGAACTCTAGGGAGCTGCACTCCGACCCTCCCCGTGGATCTCACAAGATGCTCTACATGGTGTGCCGATCTAGCAGTGACACTTCTGACACTGTCAGATCGGCTGGATCATATGGTCGAAGGGGCACAGCAGCTTGTTCCTAGGGCTGTATTATGACTTTCATGGACACTAGGCATTCCTGCCTTGGCAGGCCTCATCTTTCATCTAAAAAAAAATTTAAGGCTAGGTGCAGTAGCTCACGCCTGTAATCCCAGCACTTTGGGAGGCCAAGGTAGGTGGATCACCTGAGGTCAGGAGTTCGAGACCAGCCTGGCCAACATGGTGAAACCCCATCTCTACTAAAAATACAAAAATTAGCCAGGCGTGGTGGTGCACACTTGTAATCCCAGCTACTCGGAAGGCTGAACAGGAGAATGGCTTGAACCCAGGAGTCGGAGGTTGCAGTGAGCTGAGATGGCACCACTGCACTCCAGCCTGGATGACACAGTGAGACTCCATCTCAAAAAAAAAAAAAAAAAAAAAAAAATTAAAATTATATTTTGTGACTCCATTGGTGGCATAAAAATAAACATAATCTAGGATGGATTCATTATTATTATTCATTTTTCTTTTGGTTTTAGAATAAATTAAAATCTTTTTGAGGGGCCATTAAAATATCAGAAGCCCTCATCCCTGTGGATAAGCAGGCCCCACTCACACTGCAGTCTGGAAACACTGCAGAACCCTCTCTTGCTCTCTGCCCACTCAAAACTGGCAGCCTTCTAAATCATCTAAGGAATGAGTCAGAGCAGTATTAGCAAGTGTGCTAAAAGCTGCCTTCAAACTCCAAAGGGACCCACCAGGCATTGTGTCTATTTCTTAGCAGTAAGATGTGTAAGGTACAAGAACTTGTGCTTTACTTTAGAGGAAATGTACTAGCACTCCCCAGACCACTATATCCCCGCAAACTTCACCAATGTGGCAGGTTTGCAAATCTTTGGAGGGCTTATATGTCTTTCCAGGGTACTTAAGGTACTTACTGCAGCCTCTGACTCCTGGGTTCAAGCAATTTCTCCTGCCTCAGCCTCCCAAGTAGCTGGGGCTACAGGTACATGCCACCACGCCTGGCTAATTTTCATACTTTTAGTAGAGACAAAGTTTCACCATGTTGGCCAGGCTGGTCTCGAACTCTTGAGTTAAGGTGATCCCCCTGCCTTGGCCTCCCAAAGTGCTGGGATTACAAGCATGAGCCACTGCACCTGGCCAGATTGTTTTAATCTTCAGTATATGAGGGAAAAGACCCGCTATCATTTACCATCTAGGACTAATGGAACATTCTTTCTTTTTTCTTTTTTTTTTTTTGGAGACGGAGTCTCACTCTGTCACCCAGGCTGGAGTGCAGTGGTGCAATCTCGGCTCACTGCAAGCTCCGCCTCCCAGGTTCACGCCATTCTCCTGCCTTAGCCTCCAAGTAGCTGGGACTACAGGTGTCTGCCACCACACCTGGCTAATTTTTGTATTTTTAGTAGAGACGGGGTTTCACCGTGTTAGCCAGGATGGTCTCGATATCCTGACCTCGTGATATGGAACACGCTTAAATATTTTAAATCTTTTTTTAAAAAAAAACTTACAAAAATAAAAATAAAGGGGGAGTGAAGAACAACTTTATTATATATTTTAAAAGGAATTTAAACATAACAAACCTAAATTTTTATTTCCTATTTTCCTGGTTTGGAAGGTACATACTTTAAATGGACAACAGTCTCTGAATACACCCAAATTCTCATCAAATGCTATGCATGGACCAGAAATACAGATTTCAGATTCAAAATGCATCTCTACTGGATTCTAGCTTTTCATCATTTCTGATTTTCCTTCTTGCACTTGCAAACTCAAAGTGCAATACTTAAAGAATTTTTTTTAAGCAGGAACATGTGCACTTTATCGAATGCCATTGTAGAAAAGTGTGTGAGGATAAGGGGCTGATACAGGACTCGGCTCAGGGGGCAGGTCGAGGAATGGAAGGTGAAATGTGTGGGCGACAGGTTGTGGGCAGAGCTCCTGGCCTGGATGCTGCCTCCTGTTCTATCTATAGACTTGGAAGATCAACACTGGGTTGACAATGAGCAGAATGCTCATGAGGATGCCCAGAACCAGGACCCAGACGCTCAGGCGCTTGGCAGTGGAGGCATAGGCCTGGTCCCCAGTTGGGTCACCAACCATCTTCCCGTCCCTAGACTTCATGGAGTAGGTGACTGCTATGAAGCCCAGGCAGCAGTAGTTCATGAAGAGGGTGTTGAACAGGGACCAGACGACATGGTCGGGCACGGAGGTCTCGCTGTGGATGTGGATCACAGTGGACCTCAGGGGAGCAGGGTTGTGGGGTGCCCCCAGCACAGCCACCTCATGCCCCTCCTTGAGCATCTGATAGTTTGGGGGGCAGCTGGTGTTGGCGGGAGTGAAGAAGGTTTGGGCGGTGTGGTTCATGGTCACTTGAAGAATTTTTTGAAATTGTTAATGGCTTATAATTTTGTTGAAGACAGCACAATAAGAAAACTGTAGACTGGGTTGGGCATGGTGGCTCACATCTGTAATTCCAGAACTTTGGGAGGCCAAGGTGGCAGATTACTTGAGCTCAGGAGTTCGAGACCAGCCTGGACAACATAGTGAGACCCCATCTATACAAATAAAAAAATTAGCTGGCCATGGTGGTATGCGCCTGTAGGCCAAGCTACCCAAAAGGCTGAAGCAGGAGGATCGCCTGAGCCCAGGAGGTTGAGGCAGCAGCAAGCTGTGATCATGCCACCACACTCCAGCCTGGGTGACAGAATGAGACCTTGTCTCAAAAAGACAAAAAAAAAAAAAAGAAGAAGAAAGAAAACTGTAGGGTGATACTACAGTGGCGATTTATATTATTTTTCCATCATCCTCCTAGGCAATTCTATCATCATTCCATTTTATTATTATTTTAGTCTTTTCAGCATAGCTTAGAATAGTTAATAAATGATGATGAAATAATTTCTAGGCTGAGGAGATGGCAAAACTTTTCAAGAGATAGGAAAAATGAGATCATACAATCCCATAATATATCTTAGATTTAAGAAGGTGTCCAATGGGCCCATGTGGTAATTGCAAGATAAAGTAATATTTTTCTATTTAAAAATAACATATGATTTCACTTTTTTCTTTGAAAGATCTTTAAGGAAGAATAAAAGCCATGAAATGTCAGTCCTTACAACAGAACTGCTTAATAAAAAAACTAAACTAGAACCCTGATTCCATCCTGAGAATTAGGATACACTAAGCAAAAGCTCTGCTCTCATACAAGAGCCTTAGTGTAGTGGCATAAAGCTAAGTCTTGAATTCTGAACTTTGAGGTAAAATGTATTAGGAGAAAGTGAGTGGAACTGCTGGTGCCATATTAGTTGGGGTAAAATAAGCTGCTATAATATGAGAAGACCCTAAAATGCAGTGCCTTTAAGAGCAAAAAAAGCAAACATATTCCTGCTCTCGTTCATATCCAAGGTGAATGTTTACAGTTGGCAGGTATCTCGACTCTATGTGGAGATTCAGGGATTCAGGTTTCTTCCATCTGGTGGCTCTGACATCCCCTGGGAACATGTTATCACCCTCATGGTTGAGGTCTCAGCTTGGGGGAATGGGCAGAGCTCACAGAGAAGACCCCGCCACTTTCTCAAGGCTTAGCCCAAAGAGATATGTCTCACGTTCTATTAGTAAGAACAAGGTCACATGACCACTCTCAGCCCCAAGGGAGGCTGGGACTTGTGGTCAGGCTATATGCCCATGAAGGGGAGGAGAATGAACTTTGGTGCACAGCAAGCAGTCTCTGCCACAGGGAATGACATGATCCTTTGATCATGGCAGACAAGTCTATTTCAGCTCCTAAAGGCAAGAAATAACTGGACTACATTACAAAGCAGGAACTCTGGCCAGGTGCGCTAGCTCATGCCTGTAGTCCCAGCATTTTGGGAGGCCAATGCAGGCAGATCACTTGAGGCCAGGAGTTTAAGACCAGCCCGGCCAACATGGTAAAACCCCATCTCTACTAAAAATACAAAAACATTAGATGGATGTGGTGGTGCATGCCTGTAATCCCAGCTGTTTGGGAGGCTGAGACAAGATAATTGCTTGAAATCAGGAAGCAGAGGTTACAGTGAGCCGAGATCATGCCACTGCACTCCAGCCTGGGCGACAGAGCAAGACTCTGTCTCAAAAAAATAACAAAATAAGGCCAGGTGCAGTGGCTCATGCTTATAATCCCAGCACTTTGGGAGGCTAAAGTGGATGGATCACCTGAGGTCAGGAGTTCAAGACCAACCTGACCAACATGGTGAAACCGTGTCTCTACTAAAAATAGAAAATTAGCCAGGCATAGTGGTGCATGCCTGTAATCCCAGCTACTTGGGAGGCTGAGGCAGGAGAATCGCTTGAACCCAGGAAGGAGACAGAGGTTGCAGTGAGCCAAGATTGCACCATTGCACTCCAGCGTGGCGACAGAGTGAGACTCCATCTCTAAAAAATAATAATTACTAATTTAATTTAATTTAATTTAAAATCATAAATAAATGGAAAGCACTAATTCTTAATGGGTCAAAGTTGAGAATCAAAATCACCGCAGAAGCTCCTTCTTATTTAGTTTGACTGAATCAGATGCTCTGGGAGATGACCCAGGCAAATACTTTTTTTTTTTTTTTTTTGAGACAGAGTCTTGCTCTATTGCCCAGGTTGGAGTGCAGTAGCGAGATCTCAGCTTGCTGCAACCTCTGCCTCCTGGGTTCAAGCAATTCTGCCTCAATCTCCTGAATAGCTGGGATTACAGTCACCTGCCACCACACCTGGCTAATGTTTTTGTACTTTTAGTAGAGACAGGGTTTCACCATGTTGGCCAGGCTGGTTTTGAACTCCTGACCTCAAGTGATCCACCCACCTTGGCCTCCCAAAGTGCTAGAATTACAAGGCGTGAGCCACCACGCCTGGCCGGCAAATACATTTGGAATAAATTCTCTAGGCAATTCCTCTATGATTAAGAGCTTCTGTTTGTTAGAGTAAGAGAGGTAAATCCAATGTCTAAGGAGTCCCTTTCTGTAGTTAGAGGCCTTGTGTGGGGATTTGCCTGGCTATGGTTTGTGTCCTCATGGTGTTCCTGAGATTGTATCATATCCCGGCCGGGGATCCCCTCCCCAAGCCCAGATCTGGCCCTTAGCAGGCTCTGAGTCATTGTTGAATGTATTATTTTTACTCTCACAACCAAAAGAGTGGGGAAGTCCTCTGAAATGCCATTAAACTAACAGACAGAAACTCTGTATGTCCCTTGACGCAATCTGGTTTCAAAAATAAGCACAAATAAACCATCTCAGAGAAAAGGCATTTCAAAATTGTCCCCTCCCATGAAGTGAAACCATCACCGTGAGGCCAGGGACTCCTGAATGAGCTGAAAGATGCGAAACTGTAGCACCACTCTCTGTAACAGCTCCGTGCGCAGCCACGTACCTCTACCCCGTCCCCAGTGGGTGGGACTGTCTGGAGCAGAGCTCCCCCAGCTTGAATGTGAAATTGCAGATCCTGCTTCAGTAGATGTGGGGGTGGGTGCTGAGATGCTGCACTTCTAACAAACTCCCAGACATGGCCAGTGTCACTGGTCCGTAGACCAGGCTTTGAGTACTGAAGTTGTAGAACGCAAAGGAGCAGGCAAAGGTAAGATGTCTAAGAGCAAATGCAGAGACTCCTACCTGGCAGCTGAATCCACAGTTTACTCCTTCCCATTGGGTCCTCTTTCCTCCCTATTTCCAGCCTCTTGTCTTTGGGGACTGGACAGATTTCTGTTCCAAACTTGAGGGTCTTATAGCACCCAAATATGTGATCTAAGGTGAAAGGTGAAATCTGGAGCTTGGAGTCCTTTTCTCTACAGAGAATTATCTTCAAACATCCTCTGGATGGAACAGAGACCTAATGAAGTCTTTTCTCAATGTCCCCAAGTCCAAGAACCTCAGAATAGGCAGAAGGAGGTTGTTCTCTCCAGCATAAAGAAAGGAACTATGGCGGATGTCCTGGGTCCTCTTCATTTGTGACATTTAACAGACTTTATGTCTGGACCATACGTATTTCCAAGTTCAAGATGAACGCACCAAATCTCTCAGCTGGGAAGAACCGTGGTGTCCTGGTTCAAGGATGTATTTTCCCAATTGAAACAGACAGACACAAAATAACCTAAGGCCACAAAGTTAACACTATTTCCACGTTTCTGGGCTTCTAGCCTAGGCCTAGAGGTTTTCCCAAGAAGTCACACTACCTACCAGACTTGTAGGAATGGAGGACAAACTGCATGCCCAGCCATCTCCCTGCCTGGCAGCCAGGCAGAAGGGACTACCTGCTGGACACCATCCTGGGTTCCCTGACTTGACCCCCAAGCTGCTTGCCTTGCAGAATGCCCTGTTTAATGCTTTATTCCTCCCAGTGTTTCATTATTGATTCAGACCCTCACTGCCGGGTCTGACCAAGCAAGCTGTGAGCGTTTGTCTAACGTCAACTTCATCAAAAATGCAGGAGTTGGGGTTTTACTCGTCTGCGCGCTACCTAGACGGTTTAAGTCGATGATTAGTGGTTTCTGTGAGCCAAAGAGGGCGCTGGCAGCCCACAGGCTGGTTTCTGGCTTCTCTGAAGCGATGCTGGGTCCCCAAAGCTCTGGGGAACCCAGCAGCCTTCATCTCGTTAAGGTGGGGATGAGGCCTGGGATGAGGGGATTGACTGACATGAAGAGTTAGGAGTTTGGGAGTGGGTTTTTCAAACAATTACCAGCCAAGTTTAAAAACAAATTCAGCAATGCATTATTATGTTGTCATTAAATATTACAGATGCAAATCTAATGAGAGAGAAAAATGTCTATTCTTTCATCTATTTAAAAATGTTTATTGGTGCTGGGAAAACTGGCTAGCCATAAGTAGAAAGCTGAAACTGGATCCTTTCCTTACTCCTTATACGAAAATTAATTCAAGATGGATTAGAGACTTAAATGTTAGACCTAATACCATAAAAATCCTAGAGGAAAACCTAGGTAGTACCATTCAGGACATAGGCATGGGCAAAGACTTCATGTCTAAAACACCAAAAGCAAAGGCAGCAAAAGCCAAAATTGACAAATGGGATCTCATCAAACTAAAGAGCTTCTGCACAGCAAAAGAAACTACCATCAGAGTGAGCAGGCAACCTACAGAATGGGAGAAAATTTTTGCAATCTACTCATCTGACAAAGGGCTAATATCCAGAACCTACAAAGAACTCAAACAAATTTACAAGAAAAAAACAAACAACCCCATCCAAAAGTGGGCAAAGGATATGAACAGACATTTCTCAAAAGAAGACATTCATACAGCCAACAGACACATGAAAAAATGCTCATCATCACTGGCCATCAGAGAAATGCAAATCAAAACCACAATGAGATACCATCTCACACCAGTTAGAATGGCGATCATTAAAAAGTCAGGAAACAACAGGTGCTGGAGAGGATGTGGAGAAATAGGAACACTTTTACACTGTAGGTGGGATTGT